AGAAAGATAAAGCAGAAGCAGCAGAGGTCTGCCCTGATTAAAAACTTTGCTAGCCTGGATACAAGTCAGCTGTTGTTAACAAATTAAAACCATTTGGCTTTGTAGTTATAACAAGTAAGTTCAGTTCCCACAGCCTAATCAATTCTGCCTTGACAACAAGCTGATATCAAATAATAGAAAGATTTTTTTAGAAACAGATTACAGGGCCGTATGTAGTGGCTCATGCCTGTAATCCCAGCACTCTGGGAGGCCAAGGCAGCAAGATCACCTGAGGTCAGGAGTTCGAGACCAGCCTGGCCAAGGTGGAGAAACTCCATCTCTATTAAAAATACAAAAATTAGGTGGGTGTGGTAGCACGCACCTGTAATCCCAGCCACTTGGGAGGCTGAGGCACAAGAATTCCATAGCCTGATCAATCCTGCCTTGACTATAAATTGATAACAAATAATAGAAAAGTTTTGTTAGAAACAGATTACAGGGCCAGGCGCAGTGGCTCATGCCTGTAATTCCAGCACTTTGGCAGGCTGAAGCTGGCAGATCACCTGAGGTCAGGAGTTTGAGGCTAGGTTGGCCAACATGGAGAACCCTGTCTCTACTAAAAATACAAAAATTAGGTGGGTGTAGTGGCACACACCTGTAATCCCAGCTCCTGAGATTACTTGGGAGGCTACTTGGGAGGTTGAGGCATGAGAATGGCTTGAACCCTGGAGGCAAAGGTTGCAATGAGCCAATATTGCACCACTGTTCTCCCTCTCTCTCCAGAGGCAGACTCTGTCTCAAAAAGTTGTGTATCATTCAGCTACGATCTTAAAGTTCTGTGTTAGTGGTTCCTAACCACTTTTCTTGCCACTGTGTGCAAGCAACAATAGCCATGAGCTCAGCACATTCACTGGGCACTCCTTGCATTCAGGATGTTAAGAAAAAATATGGGAACACAAGTGAAGGAGGGTGACAATATTTATTTTTTAATAGCTATTTTATTTTTTAAAATAGCTATCAAGTCACTGTAATTCTGTGGTTCTCAATTGGGGTGATTCCTCACCAACTGCAACCCTACCCTCAGGTACATTTGGCAATGTCCAGAGATACTTTTGATTGTCAGACCAAAAACAGTCTCCAGGTGGGAGACTATTGGCATCTAGTGGGTAGAGGACAGGGATGATATTAAACATCACATAATGCACAGAAAAAGTCCTTTACTCCACTTCCTGCCCTAAAACAAATAATTATCTAGCCCAAAATGTCAATAGTGCTGAAATTGAGAAACCATGCTTTAACTAACAAAAAATTCACGGTGCTTCTGGTCATGACGGCATAATGGAGAACAAATTTATCCTCCTAACTAAACTAAGTATTAAAAAAAAATTTACAATCTTAAACGCTGCATGTTGGGCAACCCAGGAGAGTGATTCCTAAGAAATGGGAAACAAGGTGAGCCTTACAGTCATCCCAGGTTACTGCCAGGAGAAGCTCTATAGCCCATGGCACCAGGAACAGGAACTCAGGAAAAGTCCAGTGGTCTCCCTGAGTTAAGAAGATGGAGCTGACAGTTAAGCAGGGCCATAGTAACTAGAGTTTGTAGGAAAGAGTGCTGGAGAGAAGAGAGTTGCACAGCAAGAGACTCTCAAGATCTGCAAAAGGCCTTCAACAAGAATTCAGCTGACTACCCATCAGCTCATGCATATGTAGAAAGGGAAAGGAGGAATCTAAAGGATTTGAGAAGACAGTGCCCCAAACTCACACAGCCTAGAATAGCACTGCTTCTCAGCAGCAAGAATATAAAATCTCGGTCAGGCATGGTGGCTCACGCCTGTAATCCCAGACTCTGGGAGGCCGAGGCGGGTGGATCACTTGAGGTCAGGAGTTCAAAACCAGCCTGTCCAACATAGCGAAACCTCATCTCTACTAAAAATACAAAATTAGCTGGGCATGGTGGTGCATGCCTATAATACCAGCTACTTGGGAGGCTGAGGCAGGAGAATCGCTTGAAACTGGGAGGCAGAGGTTGTAGTGAGCCAAGATTGTGCCACTGCACTCCAGCCTGGGCAACAAGAGCAAAATTCCATTTCAAAAAAAAAAATGAATATAAAATATCATAATTCACAGGTTATCAGTTAGAGTATTAAGAAGGATGCTGTTCCAGAAATGGAAGATGCATCCTGGACTAAACATTGCTTGGTCTCACCTAACAAAACTTGAAAGCAAAGCTTGAAAGGATCAAATTGTTACCAAGTAACTTAACTGTGTCTCAGAACAAGCATTTTTATGAAGAAAACTATACCAAGGGACATCATAATCAAATGGCTCAAAAATAATGTTAAAGAGAAAAACCTTTAAAGCAGCTAGAGGAAAAAAAGGACAATATTTATAGAGGAACAAATGAAAATGAGAGCACATTTCTCACTGGAAAAACAAATGCGAGCTAGAAGAAAGTGGAGCAATATCTTCAAAGTACTAAAAGAAAAATATCTTCAAAATGGGGGTAAAATAAAGACATTTCATATATTAAGAAGCGAAACAAGTCTTTACTATTGTGAACAGTGCTGCAATAAACATACGTGTGCATGTGTCTTTATAAGAGAATGATTTATAATCCTTTGGATGTATATACCCAGTAATGGGATTGCTGGGTCAAATGGTATTTCTAGTTCTAGATCTTTGAGGAATCGCCACACTGTCTTCCAAAATGGTTGAACTAATTTACACTCCCACCAATAGCGTAAAAGCTTTCCCTTTTCTCTACATCCTCTCCAGCATCTATTGTCTCCTGATTTTTTAATGACTGCCATTCTAAATGGCATGAGATGGTATTACAATGTGGTTTTGATTCACATTTCTCTAATGACCAGTGATGATTGAGCTTTTTTTCATGTTTGTTGGCTGCATAAATGTATCCTATATATCTATGTAACAAACCTGCATGTTCTACACATGTACCCCAGAACTTAAAGTATAATAAATAAATAAATAAATGAAAGCTTCCCCCCAAAAGAAGACAAACAAATTAATTACCAGCAGATCTGCACTACAAGAAAAGTCAAAGGGGGTTCTTCAAGAAGTAAAAATATGTGCACTAGACTATGAAAGGCACTGGAAATGGTAACTACATGAACATGTATATAACATTTTTCTTTCATTTTTAATTTCTTTAAAAGATATTGACTCAGGCAATAATCATAATAGCAATGTATTGTGGGATTTACAACATATATAGAAGTAAAATATATGACAAGAATAGTGCAAAAGCCAAGAGAGGAGAAATAGAAGTTTACTATTGTAAAGTTCACATATTATACATAAAGTTGTATAATAAATTTAAACTGTATACTTTAAATTCTAAAGCAGTCACAAAGATAATAAAACAATTGGACTGAAATAAAAAAATTCCATTTATTCTAGCAACAAAAATGAAATACCTAGAAATAAATCTGACAAAAGATGTGCAAGATCTGTTCACTGAAAACTACAAACATCCCAGAGAGAAATTAAAGACTATCTTAAGAAATGAATTGATATTGTATTGAAGACTCAGTATTAAGAAGTCAGTTTTCCGGAACTTTCCAAGGACTGACCTATAGATTAACCTATATTTTTTCCCATAAAATCCCCAGCAAGGAATGTCAAGATGTTTTAAAAATTTACATTGTACCCCATAAATATAAACCATCATTATTTGTCAATTAAAAATGAATAAATTTATTTTTTAAATTCATAGAGAAATACAAAGGACATAGAATAGCCAAATATCTTTGAATAAAAGAAACCAATTTGGAAGACTTGGATTATTTGACTGTAAGATTTACAAATCTATAGTAATCAAGACAGTGTGGTAATAATATCAAGACAGATAAACTTATCAAAGGAAAGGAAAGGATAGCTCAGAAATAAACTCGTGTAGTTAATTTGATTTTCACAAATGTGCAAGAGCAATTCAGGGCACAATGCTCTTTTCAACTGTTTGTTTTAGAACAACTGGACATCAATATGCCATCAATAAATACTAATGGATACCTCTCACCATATACCAAAATTAACTCAAAAGCTTGTAAAATGTAAAAGCTAAAATTGTAAAATTTCTAGAAGAACACATAGAAGAAAATGTTTGCAATCCTGGGTTAGGCAAAGATCCATTAGTTATAACATCAAAAGCACATTTATGAAAAAAATTGATAAAATGAACTTCATCAAAATAAGAATTTCTTTTGTTTTTCTGAAAGACACTATTAATAGATGTGAAAAGACAAGCCATA